CCCCACCCTCAAACATTGCTCCCCCCAAAGAAAAAAAGAATAGTTTCATTCTTTGGGGATCACAGATTGGTGTATTATTTAACACGATTGTGTGAGAGCCTTGGGTACAGACACCCTGATTCTTAGGAGAATTTCCAAATTTCTATCACATCAAGGCACTATGGGGGCTTTGTCAGATTTGGGGAAGGTTTGAATTAATCTACATTATCCTGTTAAGAGTTAGGAACAGAGGGACTAGTCTTAATCATTGATTGACTCCCCTTTCCTTCAAGCCTATAAGTAATTTGTAAAATACCCCCGATGGACATGTCACTCGGTCCCCGCTATTTGGGGGGAACAGTACCATTTTTTAACTGGAATGTTTTCTTGGGTGACACATTTGGGAGTGTGTGCAGTGGGGTTGAATGCTTGACTTCATGATGATGGCACCTCTATTTCTGGCTTCTACCTGGTACTCTTTCTACAAACCAATTTCCAGGTTGTTCTTAAGCTTGTTACAAATCCCCATGGGGTTGCCATTTGGCACAGCACCTCCTTCAGGAGCCGACTTTGCCACAGGTGGGGAGTCGTGCAGTCACCTTTACCAAGATGATGGTATGTATGAGGTGTGTTAAGAGAACAATTTGCATTTGTGGTAAGCAAAACCACCTTGATTGAAGGGAAATTTTCTGGGACCGTGGTCTCATCCCCCCAAAACCTAAGCTGCTCTAGCAACCTTTCCTTTTCAACCATATTTATCTGCTGGAATTCTTGCACCTGAGGGCTCTGCCCTCCAGCAGGAGCACGAGGGATGGCAGCAGGGTGGGTTTGGCCCAGCGCTAGTGAGTGCTGTCAGAAGCAGCTGTTAACAAAATAAAGGGGGGGGGGTGGTGGTGGTGATGGAAATAGATTTTTTAAATGACCTTCAGTCACTGTTTTACATGGTAGTGAAAGGCAGAAGGGACACCAGAAAGGCCTTACAGTTTGTCAAGTTTTGCTTCTATCTCCTTAGCCCTTTAACATGAGGATGCGTACCAGCAAGAGGGGATGCCCTGGTTTGAGGGATACTGTGGCTCTCAAACACCATCAAACTGGGCTTCTGCGGGGGTTTTAGAGGCACTGTCTTTGGGGGTCTTCTAAAATACAGACCTGTCTGGGGTGCACTGGGCTTGCTACCTCCTGCCAAGAGCCGGGGGTGTGGGAGGCAGAGATGACCTCCTCACTCAGATCCTAGCTGCACCCCTAAGAAAGCATTTCTGGTGTGCTCTGGTCAGGATCTGAAATTATATTTTTGTTTGTTTGTTTTTGGTTTTTTGTCCTTTTTTTTTTTTGAGACCGGCCGCACCGTGCTCAGCCAGTGAGCGCTGTGAGCGCACCGGTCATCCCTATATAGGATCTGAACCCGCGGCGGGAGAGCTGCTGTCTCCCAGCACTGCACTCTCCTGAGTGCGCCACGGGCTCAGCCCAGGATCTGAAATTATTAAACACTTTGAGGAGAAGATGGTTTTGATTTGTCTCTTTCAGCCTTGAGAATGGCACAGTGGCTGTCGTGTGTCTTGCTGAAGGAAAGCAACCTCTTCCTCTGAGTGAAAGACAGGATTTTCCAGATAACACTGATTGTCAGTCCAGCAAGACTTCACTTGTCCCACCACCTGTCAGTAGCTGATAGTATAGGAAAAAAAAAAAAAATCTGTGGCTTCTGTGATGATCCAGGCCAGTTGCCGCTGACTTCACGGAGGGAAAATGCAATCTGCATTCTGTGGGGAAAAAACCTCCCCTCCGTTCTGGGCTCTATCATCATGTGTGTATCAAATATACATTCCTAAAGAGAACAAGAGCTAGATAATAGCCCCGGGGGCCTGGCATGCAGACCGTGGAGCCAGATGCCCTTGCCCCCTGGTTCCCACGTGTCTCCAGTACAGGGAGACCAAGCCATTCCCAAGGATGCCCGAGGCCTGGGTGAGGGGTCTTGCTTTACACTTTGGGGACTAATAAAACGCCCTGCCTGCAAAGCATCATGGGCCTGAGCTGCCCAGACCAATTTGCAGTTCGTATCCCTGTTTTTTAATCATTTCTCCACCTTTATTGGTATTCAGAGCTCACAGTTTTCCGGTTACTGTCAGCCTGGGCTTTCATCCATTTTAAAGAGCTATTTTTCCTCTTGCTGTTGATGATGATGGTATAAAGACAGATGGTGTAACTGCTTATGAATGTCCTATTTTATTTCTCCAAGACCAGACAGTTCACTTGAAGACGTATATTATTTCCACATGCTCAGGTTAGGCGCCCCAACTCGCCCTCCAGCAGCCAGCCGCCCTTCTGGGCCTCGCCATGCGGAGGGCGACACCTGTAGGTCACAGGTGGAACTGCAGAGGACTGCCTGCTCCAGGAATGGGACCTGGTGGTTTAGCTGGGGGTGAGGACACTTGATCCCCTGGTAGAGCTGGCTTGTCCAGGATCTTCTTAACCATTTTCTCTTCCACCACACCTTTTAATGAATGAGTCACAAAGGTAATATTAAACCTAGGAACAGAAGAAGAAGAGGACTTGATTTTTAAATCCTTAAGAAGAAGGAGATGCAAAATAAGTTCCTGAAATATAACCTCTTTCATTTGTCCTCTCATTGGAACTCAGCTGCCTTCACCTTCTGCTTGCAGAGAGCAGGAAGGGAAGAAAGGCCCAGGTGGGCTAATAGAAAGAGGGCTCCGGGAGTATTCACAAAGCACCATGCAGTCGCCTTGCTCAGGGCATTGCGACCTGCTTGCTCTTTGCAGTCTCTAGTTCTGAATAGAGTTGTTTGGAAAGGCTCAAGGAACTGGGGTCAGTGGCAGGTGACCATGGGTTTATAACTCACTGCAGGCCACATAATGCTCAGGAGAGAGGCGCTGGCCTTGGCGATGGCCTCCCAGTGGGTAAATTCCTTCCCTTCCCTGCTGAGTGGCACCTTTAGACACTGTTCCTTACCACATGTTCGTCACTGTAGTTTGTAGATGTCAGACTGTCTCCATCTAAGGTGATAATGTGTGTGCTAGAGAGAAGGGGCCATTGAGCCAGCTCTTTACCTAATCAAATTTAATTAATGTATCCATACTATAGATATTTTGTTATCATAAGCATGTATTGGAAAAAATGAGTTTCAACTTAAGAGACCTAGTTAATTTGGGCAGACCCAATTTAATAATATTGATTGACGGAATGCTGGTATCACCATGCAAAGATGAATTTTATAATTATAGTGTTGAACAGTTTTATCAAAAGCCTAAAAATGTTCATGGAACATCCTGCCGGGACATAATTAAGATGGTACATATAAGGCGTAACATGCTTGTTATTAATCTACTAACATTTATAAACATTTTCTCTACTAAATGATGCAGGGTATTAGTATGGGGCTGTATATCTGATTGACTTCAAGCCATGATTGCCTGATTTGTCTCTGTTTGAACTAAGGGTAGGATGAAGAGACTGGATGTTGACTTTACTATGCAGTGAGGCAAAGAGGAGATGTAGAAATTCTATGTGGAGTCTTTAGCTGGAGATGAAAATAAGCAGTACTTCTTTCATCCATATTCCTAGTGACTGCCTCATAAACCCCCTATTGGTGGTGATGAAGAAAGAACGTTCCCTGACCCTTAGTTGAGCTTTCTGGTCCTTGAACCTCCATCATCTTTTCTGGAAGAGTTAGGAAAATCGGATTCAAAATAGATACTTTCTGCGTATGTTTTAAAAACCCTCTGAGGTCAATTTCCTTTGCACATATTTTACTTCCTTTGTGAGATAAAATTTAGGGGCTATTTTCTGGAGAGCCAGAGAGCATAACACCTTGAAATACTGCAAGGTAGAGTTGGGATTGGAGAGGTCAGTGGTGGTGCTGACGGATCCCAATCCAGAATCCTAGATTGGACCCTAATACCTGGGCCCTGTTGGGTAGGGTCTAATGCCAGCCTCGGGTGGCAGATGTGGGCATCCCTGCTGTCATGCCTCTCACCCAGGAAGGCGTGCACTTCTAGGTCTCTTAACGATTGCATCATTTTGAAGATGATTTTCACCTTGGTTTGTATGTTTGATTCGGTCATTTAACCCCTTCTTACTCAATGCATTCTTATTCAGTGTTTTGGATGATGATCCAAAGGGCCAGGAGGGCAGGAGAGAAGTGTCTCCCTTTCCTTCCCTGGGCATCAGGGTTCCTCGTCTCTCCTCCCCACTGCGTGGACGGCATTTCGCTTCACAGGTAACCCAGTGCTGGAAGTGGCTATTCCTCTCCCTTCGCTACAGCACCGTGTGCTGAGCTGGAGAGACATTTCCTGGGTTAGTTTTAAACAAGCAGTGAGTAAAGCATGGAATGACTTCAAAAGAAAGGTGTATGACTGCTACGGATTTGTATCCCTTTCTCTACAAATCTAGCTTCTTACCTCTGACTTCTGGCATGCCCACAAGATGCCATTCAGTTTCTAGAGTTCTTTACATTGATAAAATTGTACCGCTGATACTCTGTGACCCTTCGGGACATGAATGGCTACAGAAAACTCCCACCACAGTCTGGCAGTGCAAGGCCCGTGAGGGGTCAGTGGTTGGGTCTGGTCTAGCCCAGTGCCAGGACGCTCTGGGGATGGAACTGGGCAGAAGCACACATGTGGCTAGTTTTCTGCATTTTCAAGTGTAAAAGTCTTGTGTGTAACTTCAGGGATTCAGGTGGAGTGACTGCTTCAACAGGATTGGTTTTTCAGTTGGAAAAGTTCAAGCGAGGCATTCAGAATCCATCTGGAAATACCTGCTGGCCGCACGACTGGAGCGAGTCACCACCTCATAGCTGCTGACAGAAGGAAAGTCCCCACTGCTCACCCTGACCTTGGTGTGGCCTTAGTGTCACCAGCCTCTCGGGAGTGCTGGGACGAGAGGAAGGCAGGGTCATGGGCCTCTTATGTTTTGTGGTTGGTCATTCTTTGGAATAGGGGCCGAGAGTCCTTCATCTTCTTTCTGTTTTTAATCCTTGACATTTTTTTGCTTTTCTTCTGTTTCAGAAGAAGCCATTGAAGATGTTGAAGGACCCAGTGAAACGGCTGCTGATCCAGAGGAGCTTGCTAAAGACCAAGAAAGTGGCGGCGAGAAGGAGCAGAGCAAGTGGGCAGGTGCGTGCGCGGCCCTCCAGCCTCCAGGGCTCCTCCCTGGGGACAGCGAGGCCAGCGAGTCAGGCGACAGATGCGTCCTTCATCGAGAAACTGTGCTGGCTCTGGGCGAGTGGGAGAGGGATTTTGTTTTGGTTTTTTGGAGTGTTCACCTTCATTCTCCTTTATTCTTTTATATTAAAGAACTTTAAAGTTTTTCAACTTGTTTACTGAGCATCCAGGCGGAGGCTGCGTGCTGGGGCTTCTGGGTCTTTGGAGTCACATGTCTTCCATAGCTCCTCTGTCGTGTCGTTTTGCCCTTTATGTCATTCTTTCTCTGCGGAAGGTCCAGTCCCCTGCCCCAGCTGCTCCCAAGGCCAGCAGAGGGGTGTGTCATGTGCGACTTGATCAGAGTCATGCCTGCTTCTCAGCCTCAGGATTCCCCAAGGGAGTCAGCAGGGGCGGGTGGTCTCGGTCCTGCATGTGGAGCCCGGGCAGGGCCCCAGGCGCTCTTCCTGCCCTCCCCTCCCCCAGGGCGGCCCCCTCTCGCTGAGAGCCCCCCAGAGGGGAGCCAGGCAGGAGCACGTCTTCCCCAAAGCAGGAGAGACTGAAGAAGCCAAGACAGGAAGTGTTATTTCTGGAAAAGCTGGTGTTGAGAGAAGGGGAGCGGTCGTTTCTCAAAATGATAAGATTTCTGAATTGAGGGAAAGAAGAGCTGCGACTAAGAAGAAAAATCTTAGGCCTTTTGAGGAGAAAAGCCATTTCTGAGAAGACTTCCAGGGACAAATAAGTCTCCCAGGAACCACCACAATAATAAGAGGAAATGATATGACAAGCCACAAAAATTATTTTACTTGGTCAACCTAATTCTTATGATTATTATTAATATTATAATTCTTTGCTATCTTTTTTGAGAAAACATTTACCTTCTGGAGTCCGTATTGGTTGGGGCCTTTGTTACTTTTCCAGGCACGACTGTTCTTAAATCATGTTCAGTGTTGGCTTTCACTATTTAAACAAGATACAGAATCTTGGAGAGAGGCCAGAGGAGAGCAATGAAAATGACTGAAGGCTGAGAAATATTGCTCTGAGAAGAGGCTGGAGAAACTGGGGCTATTCAGCTTGGAAAAGAGAAATCCAAGAGGCAGCGTTAACACCTTCCAGATACCAGGAAGGATATGGCCGAGCAGGTGATGTGCTGCTTTTCAGTGTTTCCTGGGACACACAAACTGGCCGTCACTGCACTGAATGAATGGATGGGCCCACCAGGCACATTTTGCCATCTATTCTACTTAGTGTCCCCTTTCAAACTGGGCGCTGTGGTGTCCAGAGGCCTGTACCCAGGATTACGCTGAGAGACAGGGTCAGACACCCCAGGAGGATTTGTAAAGTAGGACCAGGGAGTAGGGGGTGGACGTCTGTGCTCAAAGCCCCTGGATGTGGCAGAGGATGAATCCTCCGATGGTGCTTTGCTTGGACCAAGATCCCAGTTTTTTGCTGTAATATTGGTGTGAGATCTAAGCAGTTGGTTCAAATCGCAATTAAATATATCTCCAGGTGAGCTGGGGAAAAGGATTTCACAAACACAATTTGGAGACTGGGTGACCTTCTGGCCATCTGTCCTTTGTTGTCACGGTTTGGGTGCTTGGTTTCTAATCCTGGCTCTGCTGCTTACTAGCTGTGTGACCTTGCTCAAGGTAACTTAACCTTTCTGTGCTTCAGTTTCCTCACCTGAGGTGGGGATTAAAACAGCACCTACTTCCACAGGATTGCTGTGACAATTATTTGAGTATGGGAAGCTTAGAACTGTGCCTGGCATATAGTGAGTTTTATATAAACAGTTTATTTGTTTAATAGTTCAGTTAAATAAGGTGAGAAAAACCGGTAGCATGTTCTCATCACATCCTCCATATGTATGTCACACTGTTGCAAGGCAGCATGTGGCTTCTGGGAATTTTAAGAAGCCATGAGGCAGCAACATACAAGGGTTTAATGAGGTCATGGAAATGGTATTTGGTGCATATGCTTCCTGCATTCTGTGTGCTATGGGCACTATGCAAACCATAGAAAGTAGCCACCATTTGCAAAGCTCCTACTGTGTGTGACACCCTGTGCCGGCCACTTAATATGTGCTTCTCTGATCTTTACAACCAGTTTAGGGCAGGCTTTGTTGAGAGCAGTTCAACTAAATCTTGTTCCAAGTGTGTGTAATTCAGTGGGAGTGTGTCTTCATAGTACTAGTGGACATGCTAGGCAATCAGGAGACGACTGAAAGATGTAAAGTGAGCACCATAAAAGTGAATGTCCTTAATAAGGCCCCCCTTTCTCATTTATTCATTCAAGCAACAGACCTACTTAATCTTTACCTCCAAAAGACAGAAAGAGAGAATGTGACTGAGCGAGTAACTCCGAGGTGCACCTTTGCCAGTTGCACAGTAGTGAAGGGAGAAGAGAACGTTCTTTCCTGACTCCTGCAAATGATCCTGTTTTGACCTGAAGCACAATTTTGTCTATAGCATCTGAGTGTGTAATGACAGGCTTTATTAAGGTACTTGGACAGATTTGATCTTGGAATCAATACAGGTGCCAGCAACCTCTTCTGAGCTTTCTTTTGGATCCTTAGTATTTTATAGAAAAAAAAAAAATCTACATTTGTTCCATTTAGTCCTAAATTGAGCTGTTCCTGTCTGATTAAATGTGCTGGGGAGTGCTTCCTCCCGGCAAATAAATAAATAGTGATTTCACAATTTGTTCTGTTGATTAGTGGCTGTTCATGATGCAGATTAATAATATTTCAAATGGGCCTGGATAATTGGCATCTTCTCAGATATTGATTATGTAGTTTGGGGGTTTGTGCAGGAATGGGCATTCCTTACTAAAAATTTGTAGTTACTTATCTTTACGTTTGGCATGAGACTCCTGATTTCTTTTTGGTGTCCCTTTTTGAGATTTTTTTATTTATCGCAGATCTTTTACCTTGGGTGGCAGCAAGACAAGCAACATAGTAATTTGAATCACAGCAGGGTCAATTCCACGATCGATGGCTGACTCCCCACCACGTGCAGGGCACCTGGCAGAGTTCCACTGATCACAAGTTCAGTGAGATTATAGGCCTTGCCCTCAGTGAAGGTAACACTCTGCTAGGGACTCAGGAACACCCATCATCATAAGAACATTATTACTATAGATCAGTGCTCCAGTGGAGCTTGCTGTGCCGATAGAAATATTCTGCATCTACACCATACAACACAGTAGCCGCTAGTCAATTATGGCTGTTGAGCACTTAAAATGTGGCTAGTACTGCTGAAGAACTGAATTTTAAATTTTACTTGATTTTCATGAATTTAAATTTAAGAAGCCACGTGTGCAGCTGGAGATACTTAAAAGGAACAAAACTAACCCTGAGAGAGTGCATCTCAGGTACAATAACTTTTCAGTTATTATAAAGGCTGCATTATGCTTTCACCCTGTACCAGGTTCCATTCTAGTGCTTCACACCTGTCCTTCCCTGCAAGTGGGCCACGAAAAGCTCACAGGTACATAGGTGCTGCTTACTGTACCCCTTGGGATGCATGTTCATTTGTTCATCCCAATCTTGCCATCATTTTCTGTGTGTGCCATGATGTGAAGAAAAGCTGGAAGCACTGCTTTTATACACCTATCCCGTTTGATTCTCACCCCGACTCTGACATACGTACTGTAAATAACCACCTCCCACCGCCCCCACCATTGTGCCATGGAGAGTTCAGGCAAGTTGCCGAAAGTTATGCAAACAGGTTCAGATCTGCCTGCTGGCCTTGCCACTTACCGGAACCTAGGGCAGAGCTCCGGCTCTTACCAGTTTGTTGACCCACCGCTCTGAGAATGCGCTGTTCAGTCTGATCATTTGATGTAGTTTCATCTTGCTGTAAGTGGAGGAGTAGCACTCTCCTAAAGTTGCAATAACAGTAACATGTCAGCCATTTGTATGTTCAAAACGAACTGGGTTGTCAACCATGAACGTGACTTGTAATGAGCCAGTGTTGTGATAGGTCTGAATGCAGGTGGATGAGGTCGAAAAAACTCTCCAGGTTTGGAGTCAGGAAGCCACCAGCTAGTGAGTGAGAGCGGCTGGGCCTCTTGAAGCTTTGGGTGCCTTATCGTGAAATGTGGACAAGTGACCCCCACCAGCCCCAGCCACGTAGGGTTCCATGACGGCAAGCGGTGGCACATGTACTAGACCTGGGTAAACAGAGGGTCACATCTGGTCAAGGCAGGTGTGAAGCACTCTTGTGGGCTGGTGGAGGGTGCGAGAAGGTTCTTTGAAGCAAAGCCTCTTCCCTAATGCAAAGCCATTTCCACTATCCAACTTTGTGGTTTTCTCTTTTGAAACATGAAAATGATCCCTTGTTCTCTTTTACCAGAATGGATTTGAATGCGTGTGTTCTCGATTGAAGAGCCCCCAGTGTCAGCATCTGAGCAATGGATAATGCAGTGATTACCCAATCAATCATTAATTACTATAAATTGATATATAATTAATGTGATGCTTTATCACCAATAATTAGGGGAAAATATTGAACTCTTGACAAAGAATCATAGCATGATGGTTACTTAAACCTGTAGCCACTATGGGTTCCAGCCACAGAGTCCCAAGCTGGGTCTTCTTAAACTAATTTGAGACAAGATGATCTCCTTTTATTGGTGCTTTATAAAAGGAGAGGGGGATAGCAGGACTTAACATGACACCATGACAATGCTTCAAAAATCCCTAAGTGACGTTCAGTGTTTATATTTTTGTAAAATTTTGAGTTAGAATTGTAGTTTGAGTGTTTTCTTTTTTCTAAAGGAATGGCCTGAAGGGATTTTACTTTATTAATTTTTTTAAATCCATGATGCTCACCTAACACAGAGCAATTAGTGCATTGGAGCGTCCCTGATTTGAATCTATGGAAGATTGCTATTAAATGAGGTATTAATGGGCTGGCAAGGTCTGGGCGACTGTTAGGGAAAAGTGTGTTTATGGAATATGGTGCTGGCAGGCA